TTGGATGGCTTAGTAACCAAAGAGCACAGACAAAAAATACATATAAATATATATTAAAATATAGATGGAGTTTCCAGGAAGCCTGAAGATGTATTGAGCACAACCTCTTTCAAATATAACAAGAACGTTCATCTGTCAGTCTGGCAGCATGGAAGCCAAATCTAAACAAATGAGGGATGACTTGTAATATAGACTCTGCAAAATATTTTCATCTGACCTTCTGGGTAAACATTTAGCTTGTCAAATGACATCACTGTTGTTTTAACAAACACTTCTGAGCTCCTGTAGATGTCCTCCTATAACTACAACTCCTTAAACAAAGTGTGATTTATCCGTCTTAATGTGTGTTCAAAGGGAGACGTTAATGAAAGTAATTTGATGTCACTTTGTGCTGCACTAAACGAGGTTTGTGGACTTGATTACCCTGAGATTAGTTTCTAAATTACACACAAACAAACATCCCATCCATCAATCACGTAATCATGGTCTGAAATTTGTGGGGTTTACCGAAGCTGCAGAGTTAGTTGAGGGCCTTAATGTGCCGCATGAACCGGTCTGTGAATAAACTTTCTGGATTAGTTAAAAGGAACTTTGGGAAGGGCTAAATTTAAAGCTTTCCTCTGAGGCTCGCCGCTGCTTCTGTCTTTCACACAGACGCAGCCATGAGCCTATAGGCTCATCCAGTTCTTAAACTGCCTGCCAGAGCGATGGGACCAGCATGACATGAGCAATTAAAATCGGCCCAAAATACATCTGGCTCTTTATTCAGTCCATATCCGAGTTTATACAGTGTGGCTGAAGAGTTGTGCTCTAATGGCTGGAGTCAAAAAACAAAAAACAAAAAAAAGAATCAAAGAGGGTTTAAACATATATGCACAAAAAGATTCTTGTAACATTTTAGTTCTGAGTAAATAAAAAAAAGAAAGAAAACTATGATGTTAAACCATTGAGTTAAATTCTCTCAAAGAGGAATGTCAGGTTTCACTGCAAGACCAGATCCTGAACAAAACTGAAATGAGTGGAAAGAGATACGAGGGAAAAGATGTGAAGAGCGAGCAGCGAGGATAGATGGACAGGAAGGGCAGGAAAAGGATATTGCACAGAGATGGGCCGCAGATCCATTATTTCCTAAACCTTCATTAGTTTTATGAAGAATTCATGCAGCAAAAGATGATAAATCCTAGAGTGAATTTAAGTCTGACATCAGAGGAATCTGGTTTGTTACATTGCACCTGAAACCAGGTGTGTAACTCCCTTCTCTGTTTTAGCAACTTATTCTGTTTGTATCTCTTTACTTTTCCAAAATTAAGAATTGTGAAGTTACACCTCTTGAATTAGGTTGAAATTTTCATATTACAACCACAAACTTTAGATTGTATGTGATAAACCTACAGCTCTAGCCCTTCTAAGTTTCTCTTAATAATTTTGGCCAAGTAGATACAACATGTGTTTTAAAATATAGACATCATGACATTAAATGCTGACAAGCTGAAATTCATCCCCAAGCAAAACAGAAGAAATTACATTTTGTCTAAAAGTACAAAGTTGATTCTAATGTCTACAAAGTTCCTCTAATTGGAGGAACTAAAATCTCTAAGTTTTCCATCTTGACTGTAGTCACGGCTAAGTTCAGATTGAGGTTGAAAGTTTAGAAGATCTGATTTCATCCCTTTAACTCTCCCAGCTCTCCAGATGGCCGGTCCATCTTTGGGTACAGGATTGAGCCGATACCAGTGTGATACTGGAGCCAAAAGTTGATCTTCTCACAAATCTGACGAGTGCCATGTGCTGGCACCAGGAAGCGGTGGACAGATTCTCACCCAGATCCTGTGTTATCCTCTGGAAGGCTGTAAAGGACAGAGTGGAGGAGATGGATGGACTAAGTGAGGGGTTCTTATCGGGTCAGGACCCTCCAACTGTCCTCCTCTTTCTTCCCTCCATCTGTCCATTTGTCATTCTCTCTACAATTGTCCAATTTTCTTTTTTTTTCTTCTTACAGGACAGTAATTCTTTGCAAAATACTTGGATTTTCTGTATATCCAGGGTGTATTAGGGTCTTGTGATAAATGCCTCTGTTGCCTAAGATGTGCTTTGGATGCAGGATGAGGGATGAAGGAAAGGCTTGACTACTGATAGAGTTAAAAGGATGCAGAGTGTTACAGGATCAGTTTGATGTTTTCCTCTTTCACTGCTCTGCTTTGTTCCCTCTCTCTAAAGTGAGAGTTCAGGTTCTGGTTTGAGGCCCGGTTCTGTAAATTTTAGGACTTGTCAGCATCTTTCCGCTGGAAAAGCTTTTCTAATCAATCTTGGTTTGGAGAGAGAGTGATTTGTGTAAAACTTGGATTCAAACTAAAGCCTGGTCAGAGTGACCGTAGGACCAAAGCAGGATATTTCCTTGTAAAATGAAAAATCTTTAAACAGTTCATCATGTACAGCTTCATAAACTCTTCTGCATTAGATGATTATTTACAGTTGAAACCGCAAACCTTTTCTCTCACTGCCAGAAGTTAAATCAGACCAAACTTCTCCTTTTCTTTAGGTCAGTTAGAATCACCTAATTTATTTTTATGTGCTAAATTTCACAAAAAGAATCTGGAAGAGATTTACTTATTAAAGTCTTCAAAGTCAGAAGTTTACATACACTTCCTCAGCCATTGCACCCGCTCCTCCTGACAGAACAAGTGCAACTCCGAGCAAACTCTGAGTAAATTACAGTCAGGACAGAAAGCAGAAAACATCGCAACCTCCGAAACCGTCTCTGGTGGAAGACCACATCCAGCATTCAGAGAATGTAAAAGTAAAATCAAAGATCTGTTTTCATTTATTAGGTGAAAGAGGTAGACTACATGCAGAAAATTGGCTGCCACTTTTTCCATTAACAGCTGCAAGTTTTCCATTTTTGCACAAAACAAATAGAAAACTGTATTATTTCTATGATTAAACGTCCCTTCTTCTTTTCAGAGAAACGTTAACATTTTACAGTAGTACTCAGAAAATACTAACCGTTTCCATTGACATGGACTGGGAGCCGACAAGCTCCGCGCCTGTTCTTTCCGCTTTATCCAGAACAATTCAGTATAAAGCTCAGATCTGTAATTTGAAACAAACAGGCTGACAAACTGTCACCTCATTTAGCAAGTGGAACAAACAGGGTCCCTTTGTCCATTTGCAAATTGTAAAGAGCATATTTTGTAAACAGAGCTGTTTAAATTATTGAATAAGGACCCTGTTGTTTCCCACCAATCTCTCATTAATTTCAACAGAAAATAGACCGCAGTGAAGCATTTCACCAGGAAAAGTTTGCATTTTCTGTGATTCTAAGCAAAGAAACAGTAGCTATACAGCATGATGGCTGAAGACATTTGAATTATAACATATTAGAAATGTTGTACTGTTTTGGTATTTGTTGAGACGAACTCAGGGCAAATCTTTTTTTTAAAAACAGCTACGTTCAGGTTTTAGCATAATCTCCTGAAGTGTTATTTAAGGTGAGGGATGTTGATTTTGTTGTTGTGACGTAACTTTTGCTCTTAGAAACTGATTCTGAGCTAATCAGTTTCATGCCCCAAAAGGAGTTTGAAACCAAAAGAGCTTGAGAAAACATTTTAGTTATAACATTCAACAGTTCTTGACACTTGTATACAATCAGAGCATTATTTCCATGTCGCACATCAGTCACAAGTGAATTAATAGCACTAGATTTGCACCAAACATTTAGGAACACGTATCAAATAAGAAACCATTTGAACAGGGATCTAATTAGTTTTCTAGGATTTGACATCCATTGCAAGCTTATATTTTCTCTTTACAATATTTACTTAGCTGAAAACTGTAATGTGACATAAATCCGGTATGACAGAAAACAATAACCCCTCCAAAGGAAAACATTTAGATTCATATTTGATGAAAAAATACATTTAATAAAATGCAGTGCAAGTATGTCTAAAAACATAGCTATTTTAAATTCACAATGAAATGATTTCCTTGGTATCTTTCACAATGAAAATCTTTGAGAAGAGCTCCTCAGCTTTTGGCAGATCCACACTGGAGCGTTGCCAAGAAGGATTCTTAAATCACAAGAGGCAAAATCCTCACATCTGATAGCAAACTGTGTAATTCAGCTGCGATGTTCAAAGCTACAAGCCTTGAAAACCTCATACTAACTAAACACAATCTCATTATCAGAGTTCCTACAGGCGAACATGGTAGTGGCTGTCTTGTTCTGTAAGATGGAAGGAAAAATGAAAGTTCCTGAATTATGTTAAAATTGTCTGTCCAATAATAAGCAAAAATTCTTTGTTTGTATTTTTCTGTCTCATTTTCTCTTGTATTTAATCCTCACTAGAGCTACCAGGGAGACATTCACTGCTGCTGGGATCATGTTCTGAAGTGTAGTTTGTTTTTTCCATGTTTATCACTGGTTCCCTTTTTAAATCTGATTCCGTGACAAATCTTTAGCTACTTCTGTCTTCCTTGGAACGTACACATTTCATACAGACACTTCCTGAATGCCTGAGTTATTATAAGGTTTGCCTTCTAAGCTAAATAACTTCCTCAGATGTTTTGGGTAACTTTCCACATGTTTTTTTTTTTTGTTTTTTTCATAATACTGAACTGAAACGTTTTCCATTCCTCTTTATAAAGTACATTATTTTCTAATCTATTTCCTTGAAGCGCACCAGTCCCTCCTACAGCATGACTCCATCTCTGTTCTTCACAGGTGAGATTTGTTCTCAGGTCTGCAAGTTTTCTCCTCCAAATACACACAATGATAATTATGGTTACACATGTTTCTTTTTCCATTTCTCTAAAAATGTCTTCAAAAATTTGTGGCTTTTCCCTTAAGTTTATAAAGAATATCTTTTTAAATTTTAATGTACAAAATAATGGTGGCCTAGGCTTTCTTAGGATAAAGAACTGCTGCAGAATATATTTTTGATTGTGTTTTGTTTTTTACCACTTTATGATCAACTGACTTGTCTTACTTTGTTCTACTTAAGAATTAACTATACAGTACATTGGATGTAAACATGTCTATATGAATGGATTAGAGATAATTGGACTAATTTGAATTGAATTCGGATCAAACTGGATTCTCTACGCCCTGAAATTTTTTTATTTATTGTACTTGTGTAATCATTACTTAATGGAATCATTAAATAACAATTACCCTTATCATTTGTCATTGATTAATAAACAGTGTGTTCATTGATATCTCATTGTCAGGTCTTCCTTACCTTAACAGGGAACATTTTTTTTTACCCTTGTAGGTAAATGCTGCTGCACATGAACAAGACACTTTAAGAGAACCCAGGAACAAAAGAAAACTGTATACATACAATTAAAAAAATAAAAAATAAATAATAATGAAATATATATATAAGATGCAGAGCACAAAAAACTGTGCAAGAAACTTATTGTTATTATTATTTTTTTATTATTATTACTTTAAATACTTGACATACCAAGCTGGAGAGGAGAGCCCCACTGAGCTTTTCCAGATTAATCTGGAGAATCTAGACTTGTTTCACCGCTGATGACAAAATGTCTGTGAAATCTCCAAGAAATCAAGACATTTGTGTCATCTGTCTCTCTGAAGGACGCGTTTAATGTGTGTCCTGGAGTTTGTTGACGTACATTTGAAACTTCTCACGCACTCTCGGTACAAACTCTTGACGTACATTTACTCTCATGTATTAAAAAGACGGAGTCCAGAAAGCAAAGGGTGACAGGGGAAACGTAAACAGGCCTGACAGGTATGCTAACATCAACCTTTCTCCTGTAAACTCAAGATCTATTTTCTTCCTCAGACTTGTCTCTGCTTTGACTTTTGGAAGACGTGATATCCTCTGAATTGCTTTTTTTGCCTTTGGTTCACACATGGGACCATGGTCTGAATGTGGATCTAGGAAATGGAAACTTTTCGGGACTGCTACAATAAACACAGCAGAGATTGAGTGCAGGACCCGAAACACTTATTGGCACCCAGACAAAGTTTGGGAAAAGCCTGAAAATAAATGTTTTTTTTGTTTGTTTTTTTTTGCAGCATCATAATCTCTTACTGATTCATTCAGAAATGTTTCAGTTCAGTTACCGACAGTTCATCTGAAGTAAAAAAAAAAAAAAAGTTTTTCTTTTAGTAACTTTTAAGACTAGGAAAGTCAAGAGAACATTCCATTCATATAGGGAAAACGTGTATGGAATTTTGTAATTGTAGCCATTTCCTAAAACAACTGATAAAGATAGATAGATTGATAGGTAGACAAATGGATAGATGGATTAAGAATATTCTGTCTATTATCTGTAACAGTCTGCTGCAGGTAATATCTGATTTTCATCAGACTTAGTGACCCACTCCCACCCAAAGGTTACATGTCAGTCGATCTCTTATTGGCTGATATGTTATTAAATCTGGCCTATTTTGCTTCCTTGAACAGATTAGCACAGGTCTACAGGCTACACAAAACATGTTCATTACATTTTATGCACAAAATCATATAATGAGATTTTAGTCTGGTCAGTTCTGACTACTTTGAGCTCCTTTCAAAATCAGGTGTTTTAGGGCCTCTTGAAAAGCAGAAGTGGAGCCTCCTGCACAACCAACAAGAATGTGCAGCAAGTGGTTTCTGGATGGTAAGTCAACAACAAATTTCCAGCAGCCATTGTACAGCACATACAGTAGTAAAGCCAGCTGACTAAACGTGCTGTAGCTCCCTTTGGGTTGCTAAGTGACAGGCTGATTGTGACTCAACAATTGGTAGGGTTTTGAAATGGCTCATGTTCTGTTTCAAAAATGGAAAATGAGCTGTTATTTATTATAAATAATAAATAAGTTATAAATAAGCTGTTTTTAGAACCAGCCCAAGTCTGAGACCCAAATGGAATTACAAAAATGTGCAAATTTGTAAAGTGTGCCCTCTTTAAACAATACATAATCAATATATAGCCCTTTGTTTTTATCATTTATAATGCATTTTACTTATTTTATTATATATTTAATATCTGCTGCAATGGGTATTTGTGATGAAAATAGTAAAGATGTAAAATTCCCAGAGTAAAGTGGAGTAAAGCCAGTTACGACCTTGTTGCATTGAAATACATAATCACCCTTTGCATATATCCTGCCTCCATCTGCAGGCCGGCTGTGCACCTACGAAGGAACAGATTCCATGTGTCCAATTAAGGGCGCATTTCAAATGCTCTTACATCTTACTGAATGTGTGCTGATGTACATTTAATGGTTCTTTTCAACACTTGTTCTGCTCCTTGTTCAAACATGAAACATGCAGCCTCTCAGGAATCCCCCTGAGTAACCTCCTTTTATCCAGACGTCTTCATAAAGACATTCTCCACACAAAGACACATAAACAGACCATGTCTCCGGATGTTAAATGAGCACACTGACACACAATAACGGAGCTGAATCTATGGTTTTACTCATTTCTTAAAAAGAAAAGATTTTCACCTGGTGAGGATAGCTTAATCACTTCAGCTCCAGTTTATTTGTTGTTCTAAATGTTACCACAGAGGGGGATTTTCTAGCTTCTTTCCACTCCGTCTCCACCAGCTATCTTCCCTGGACTCACTCTTTTACTGCCTCTTTCACGTCTCCACTCAGTGTGCTCTGCTCACACACCTACGCGCCCCTGTAGGTGTAACGTTACGGTGCAGCCTGTTAACATTCCCGGGCCGGACCCGCTGAGGCTTTCCAGATTGTTCTGTTTAGACAAACGCTGCCAGGCGGGAGCTGCGGAGGTGAGGGATGGAGCGCCGACGCCGCACAGCAAAACGCGAATGCACCAACTGACATTCAGAGAGCGGCCTTAAAACAATGCAAGTGTAAATCACCCAGTGTGTTTTCATTTTCACATTTATGTGACTGTGCATCTAAACACACGGACACACACGCGGAGTTACCATCCTTCAGAGGGACCCTCAGCCTCTGTGTGTCATTATGCTGTTGGAAATGCCAGCATCGTTAAAGTGGCCTGTTTGCTTTAATTGAGAAGCAGAGTGAAAATAAATGCTTCAGTGTCGTTTGTTTCTTCGGCTCCCTCAGGCTCTCTTCTCTCGGCCTCCACCAATTCATCAAAGAACCTTAAACTCTTTTTCTTTGTTTCTCTTTTTCTTTCATCTGGCCCCAGACCTTCTCCCAATTTTCACTTGTTCTTCTCTACCATTCTTATTTCCACCTGAAGCTCCCATAGCTATAGATTACACTGATGACAAATAGAAGATCATTACAGTTGTGATTGATTAGATATGTTTGCTTTGCTGAAAACTCCATTTAAACAGTGGAACTCTCTTGTTTAGGAAGAAATTTTCACTCATGGTGGAAGTTTAAAATAAATATGGTTCAAAAGAATAACTTTCTCAAAACCTAAAATCAACAGGGGATGGGAGACATTTTTTTCTTTACTCCTGACATGCAATGTTTTGGATCATTTCAGCAACAGTCATGGGAAAAATGAAGTGCAGTGGACCCCTGCCTACCCGCAGTTGAGTATTTGCAGATTTTTATGTCCCACAAACACAGAGTCTCCACTATACACTTTGCCTTCTTTAAATCCAGGGTTATGCATCTTAAAATGATCATTGTTTAAATCTAACTTCATGTGAACAAAATCACAGTAAATTTCATACTTTCATTCATTAACAAAACAGAAAAAGCCATGTAACTAAGTACACACCATGATTCTGTAGAAGCAGCCTTAGCAGCAGTAACTCAAAGTTGTCACTGCCTGCTTGACATCAATCTTTCACACGATGATGCCATCAACACATGACGGCATAATTGCTTCAGGTTGACTCAGTCCTTGCACTAGACCGACAACACCAGCCCAGATCACCACTCCACCACTGATATTTGTTTTCCTAAACAAGGTGCGTATGCAGGGCTTATATCTTTGGCATTTGGACTTTGCTCCTAAAACCTTGAAGTTTATTCAGAGAACATTTTCTAGTTGTTCCATTGTTAATGTCAATATTTACCACACCGACTAACTCCTCTAGAGTCCTACATGGAGCTTGTAATTCTTTTGTAATTTATCACGAAATGCCACAGACTTAATGTGATGTAAATGTTTTGCAACATCGACTCCTGGAAATACTAGAAGCTGCTTTAAATGTTTTTCATTTGTGATTTTTTTTTTTTTTTTTTGCTTGCTACAAAATCGGTGAGCAGCAATGATTGCTTTTCTAAAGTAATTGCTGGTTTCTTTTGTCCCTGCCGTTGTGTTAACACACCTGTTTGCTCCGGGCCAAAAAACTACCGAAACTCCTGCTTTTATAGACGTGTTCACCACAACTGATGATATGTTAAAAGCACCTGGATTTTTTTTTTCTTTCAATAATACAAAATGAAAGAAGGAGGAGCATATTAAGTTTTTCATTGTTTGTTCAACTTCACTTTGGTGGAAGATGAACAAAAGCCATGCAACTAAGTACACACCATGATTCAACAGCTTGTAGAAGTACCCTTAGCAGCAATAACTCAAAGTTGTCACAGTCTTTTGTTTATTTGTTTTTCACACCTCATAGTTCGGTGGACTATGAGAATGAATTTACCCAGAATGCCCTGCATCATAGCCGGCTTACTGCTTTTGGAGCAGTCTCTGGTCTGCTTGCATTATGCATTCAAACCAAACCAGAGTTTGCTTCTTTGGTCCACATCAGAGTTTGATTACGCATCCACACCTCGCCAAACAAACCGGACTTTCTAGGCAAACCAACTGGAGTTTGAATAAAGCAGACTAAACAAAACTGGTGTGGATCCACACTGAAGTCCTAACAACTGAAACGACTGAATGTAACAACCCAAAACGGAAAAAAAAAATCCTTTCCTAGTCTTATGTACTGTATATTAGCAGTAAACAGTTTTTTTGTTTTTTTACAACTCCGGTTATTTTTCTAAAGACATTTCGAGGCAAGCAAAGCTTGTCCGAAGTGATTTGCAGGACTATCCTGTCTCTCTGCTTTCCTCCATCCAGTCTGCCTCTGCTCCTTTTATTTTA